GTTTTGTGGAAATCTGGGGGTATAAAGTTGCCTGCATAGGGAATGGCCAGTCCCAGAGGCTGGTTTGGTCCATTGTGATGAAAGGGGTGACTGCTTGCTGTGTTAGTTTCCTGTAGTGGGCCAAGGGCAAAAGCATGGAGACAAGGGGCCAGGACAGTGATCGGGATGAGATGGGATGGTGATTGGAACCAAGGTACTAGTAGTTGTCTTTGATTCTGCATGTATTTTAAATAGAGCCAACAGGCTTTGCTGATGGATTGATTGCATATGGGTTGAGGGGGAAAGTGAGCAGTCAGGATGACTAAAATTTTTGGACTGAGCAATAGTGAGGATGAAGTTACTATTCTGAGATGGGGAGGACTGAGAGTAGAACAGGTTTTATGGGCAAAGGCAAATTATTCGTAACCCTGAACAACAGGATAGGCAACTACAACACTTCATCCATTAAGAGCAGTGGTCTGTAGATTTTACTGTGAGAACCCTTGCATCTGTAGATTGTACAGCTAATTCTTTTAATGTTTTAAAGTTGTGGGAGTTGTTAAAGATTGGCTCAGATAGAATCATACAGCCCGTGGTAACTGGGTCAAGTATAGAATAGACCTTAAGACTTACTATTTTTTCCCCCTTTGGTGGAATGACTAGTTAACACTGATAAGAAGAATGAAGGCAGAAAGCCTTGAACTTGGATGGTAAGAACATCGGTAAGTTTCGGTATTAACAGCTGGCTCATCAGGGCTTTGCTGCTGTATGTGAAGTCTATGCCTGGGACTACTTTTTGCTTTTAATCTCTTCATTTTCTCCATACACATCCATTCACATGATCACACAAAGAATTTCAACTGCTTTTTATGTTATGTGCTGTTTGCAGTCTTATTTTGTTAACAGTTGCTACACAACCATCTTGGGTTTTCTCTTCAAGCACAACTTTTTAAACATGCGTGATCTTGAATGATGAATGATCTTTTATCTGTATCATTAGTGTTTCTGCCTGTCAGTAAAGAAATGTCCTTTTCATCAAAGGTAGTATTGCATAGTGATTAAGGGCAGAAGCTATTCAGGCACATAGATGTGAGTGCACGTCCTTGCTTTAAAACAGACAGCTGTGGCCTGGGGTGAGTTTATACTACCTAACTCCTTGGCTTCAGTTTTCTCATCCGTAAAATAGTAATAATAATTGTACTTATCTCATGGTTATGAGCATTAAGTAATGCATGTAAAACTAGACACAGACCTAGATAGTGTTAGGACTTAGGTTAGTGTCAGATTTTTTTTTTTTTTTAATTTCCATTATTTATAACTCACTTATTTTTGATAAACAATCTTCTACAAGCAGGTTTTGTTAAGCCTCTTGAATTCTCATTGAGTTACACAAATGTTTGGTTGTGATTACATGGTAATAGGCACTGCTGCTCTGTTATTTCATATTTTCTTTTCGAGATAGTCTCACTCTGTCACCCAGGCTGGAGTGCAGTGTCGTGATCTTGGCTCACTGCAGCCTCCGCCTCTCTGGGTTCAAGCAATCCTCTCAACACAGCCTCCTGTGTAGCTGGGATTTCAAGTGCATGCTATCACACCCAGCTGATTGTTGTGGGGTTTTTATTGTTGTTGTTGAGATGGGGTTTTGCCACGTTAGACAGGCTGGTCTGGAACTCCTGGCCTCAAGTGATCCACCCGCTTTGGCCTCCCAAAGTGCAGGGATTACAGGTGTGAGCCACCGCTCCCAGCCTGTTGTTTCACGTTTTCATTTATCTTTAGCAAAATTCCAAATGTGATCTAGTATTCACAGAAATGTTAAAACCAGTAGTAGTTTAATAGTTGTTCTTTCCTCCCCAACTGCCATATCTAGGTCTTATTTCTCTGAAATTTCTTTAAAAAAAAATTCATGATGAGCCAAACTTATTGATAGAATCAGGTTAAAATGAATAAAATGAATATATCTTGGGTGGAGTGTATATGGATGAAGTTAATCCGGTGGTTTATGAGCTTTTCTAGGTGAATAAAATGTTGAGGAAATGGTTTACTTGGGAAATTCCAAATCCATTCTTAACCCCTCCTGCTCCTGCCCCAGGAGAAACTGATAAAAGTAGAGCTGTTCTGGTGGTAGAGGGTTGGGAGGAGAGCCACAATCCCTCTCTATTCTGCCTCCACTTCGCTGTCAGAATACAGCGTGAGCACTATTCGAGGCCAATCAGGGCTTCATATGATAACTTTTAAAAACTCGAAGGGTGCAAGTTTAATAGGAATGTTTTGTCAAAAGATTTAAGGGCAAATTGTTTATATTTTAGGGACAATTAAAACAGTATGGTACAATTCTTTATATTTTAGGGACGATTAAAACAGTAAGGTTGAATATCCCTTATCTGAAATGCTTGGGACCAGAGTGTTTTGGATTTTGGGATGTTGAATAGTACTTAGTGGCTGAGCATCCCAAATCTGAAAATCCCAAATCCAAAATGCTCCCATGAGCATTTCCCTTGAGCATCATATCAGTGCTCAAAAAATTTAGAATTTGGGAGGAGCATTTCAGACTTCAGATTTTTGAATTAGGGATAGTTAATCCATAGTGTTGTCCTTAGCTCCACTTACATTTTAAAACTGGCTGGAGTTCATGTCAGTTATATTAGAGAAACCTGCTTTGCTCTATGTGTCATTGATGAACCACTACTGTATCCTTGCTCCACATTTTTTAGGTCAGCAGGGGTTGAGGACAGTCCTGTGTGAATACACATACACTTTGCTCTAAGTACTGGTAGTCTATCCGCCACTGGAATTTGCTTCCCTAGACCTTGACTCAAGGTGACAAAAGTGAAAGCATGTACGAAAAGTCTTAAGAATTTTATGTAAACTTTTTCTTTTTGTATTTTACTTTAAGTAGGAGGTAATAGTTGATGAGGTAGTTGGGAGTCTAAAATGTTGGAAAGAACTGCATCTTTAATGCATTATTTTATCTAATTCTTCTATATAAATAACTTGTGAAGATTCTAATATGCCTTGCACATAGTTGACAGTTTGAAAGGAACCAGTATCACTTCTAGTATATTCAGGTTGTAGGGAGTAAACTAATGTTTACTGAACCACCTTCATATTGTACTAGGCAATACTGGTTTTCTCTGTGTTACTTATTCCTTATTAAACCAGAAGGAGAGACTTGGTTTCATTTTAAAAGCCAGACAGTTGAGACATGTTGAGGCTCTTCGGAATGAAGTTGTTGCCTGAGATCCTACAGTTAGGAAGTGACAGAGCATGGAAACCAGCCCTTCAAAGCTGTGCTGTTTTCTTCTGTACCGTGATCTTACAGATTATGAAATCTGTCTGCTGGGGTGGGGAGAAAACAAGCTTAGGTATGCCCTTTTTTTTTGGGTAGGTTACACAAACGTGATTGTAATTCAGGTAATTAGGTTTTCAGAGGTGTCTCTGTGTTCTGTAACTCTTAAATTATTAGCTAGTTAAGTGAAGATTATTCATTTGGATCAGAGGATGAGCAGGGCTCTTCAAGCCTACCATTGACAGAGTGCTGGGCTAGGCCTCTCATATTGTACCTTGAGTGGGTGGTTTATAAATAAGACTCCAAAGCTAAAGAGGTGATTGGTCACATTTAAGGTTATTGTATACCACCCTTTGCAGGCCTCCGTGTGTCATTGAACTTACGACTTGACTGAGTTTAGGAGATCATTTTCCTTGTTCCTTGTTTGGTTTTTATGGCATATGACAGGTGATTTTTTTTTTTTTTTGATAGAGTGCCCGTATATCCTGCAGTTTACAGAATTATTGTTCCAGAATAATTTTCTGGTTTGGAAGATAAATTATTTGGTTATCCAGATAGTACAGGAGAAATCCGGTCATTATAACTAATTACATTTTGGTCAACATGGTTATATTACCTTAAGGAGTGCTTATTTAAATTTGGTCTTACCGTTTTTCTCTCATTTGGTCAGATGCAGCAAATATTTATATTTACATTTCTCTATTTGGATTAATTCTTCAATTGCAGTTTAATTTATCCAGATAAATGGAATAGAACCAAAATTGAATTCTAATTCTGTGCAAAACAATAAAGCACTTTCCGAGAAGGATGCCTTTGCTTTTGGGAAGAGGGGGAACCGTTTCTGTCTCAAAGCACCTTTGTGTCCGAGGTTTGGCCAGATACGTCCATCACCAACAGAGGACTGTTTCTTTTGCGTTCTACTAGTATTACTCCCATTACAAAAGTTTTTTAAGGGAAAAAAAAGTAGTACCAAGGAACCCGTCTACATACTTTTCATGACTATGCCTATTTTACTGTCTCAAAATTTTTACTTGAGAGGTTTGCCTGAATGGTGAACTGTGTGTGACAAAAGACATATATAAATATAAAAATCCAAGTTAAAAAACCTCATGTTAGCTGGAGATTCTTCCATGTATATTCTTGTAAAAATAAGGGAACCCTGGAACCCAGTGCTCATTGTATTTTGTTGAAGAAATGTTCACTTCTTTAAAAGGAAGGAAAACATACATAACTTACTGTATATTTTATTTGGAACCATTTTGAAGGCACATATAGTTTATCTCTTGAAAGACTGCAATTCAAGGCTCTATGACTAGAATGTAAAATTTAGCTATATTGCATTATAGTATTTTACATATTTCTGCAAACTAAATTGACCTGTGTTTGGTTTTGTTTTTCCTTTTCCAGTCTTTACCAGGTGCTGGTCTATGGATGTATTTTCTTTAAATTGGAAAAAATCTAAAAACCTACCCACAGACTGGTATGGTATCCAGTGAGAAGGGAACTGTCCCCAGTGGCTTTGAAGGATCTAAGGAAACCTAGGAGGAGAGTTAAGAATTCAGCCTTGAGCTAGTGTTTGGCTACTCTGCTGCCTCTCCTGTGGGCAGAGCGAGTTTACTAGAGAAGTTAGGAGTTAGGGCCAGCATGAGAACTTGATGCAGTTTGAGCATTCACCAGGCAGCAGATAGCTTCTATATCTACCTTGCATACATCAGAATTGACAAAAACAAAAGAATTGTTTTCTTTTTGAGCACTTTGTTCTCTGACCATACAAGCTGCAGCAGCTACTGTGACGTATACCCTACCCTATTCCCCCCTGCCCCCAGATAAAACCAGAAATACCCACTGTGTTTTTCTCTCCCTTCTTTGGAAAGCACATGGTTGCTGCTGCCATTGGGAAGAGTGATACTCGATCAGCCAGCTAGCCTCCTGAAAATTGAAACAAGTGGCCAGAGGATGACTTGGATGTTGGGTAGCAGAGAGAGCCCTGAAGGCAGGGTTTCATAACTGCAAACAGCAGTTTTCATTGTAATTGATGAGCTTCCCTTATGCAGAAACATTTAAAGGTACCCTTTTAAATAATGTTTACTAATCATCTGATTAAATTTTATTAAAAATTTAGATGATTCTTCATAATGTCACAGTGTTCAAAAACTTGACAGTGTTTGGGGGTGGGGAAGGTGGTCATAGAAATATGATCAGCTTCAGGATTTGACATGTATGAAGTGATAATACATTTCAACTTTTGAGTTTTTTTTTGCGCTTTTCTCTGACAATTTTATTTATGCCAGCCTTTGAGACTTAGAAAGGATTTAAATCACTTTTCATAGCACGATTATTGTAGTGCTTAATGCTTTAAAAAGGCATACAGATGGGGTTGAGACATTCCTGTTGAGGCAGTTTTTTCTGCATTAGCCCTAAGAACCTAATTTTGTAGGGCAGTAGTCTCCAGGTGTTATATCTAGCTCCTTTTGACAGTGAGAAGTGTGTTAAAGTTTTTAATACTGTGGTCTGTTTTGAACAGTTTTGAGAAGAGGTGGCTTTAGTATCATTTATAGGACTCAAAAGGAAAATGCCTCGGAGAAAGTATGGAAAAGCATTCTGCTCTGAGGTTGCCTTATTGCAAAAGGAGAAATCATTTAGAAGTTCATATTTGGAGGGCATTAGATTGAATAAAAATGTGTTTTCCTATTGGTCTGTCAGCTACAATTACAATTAACTTCGAATATTCAGAATTTGTCTCTTTTTTCAGGAGAAAAGCCATCAAATTAATAAATTTAATTTTAGATAAATTTAAATGTCTGTTTTGCAGAGTGGTTGTCTTAATCCAGAACTGAAAAATTCCTGATGGTCTTACTGAAGATTTATCTAATGGTCAACAAATATCTGTTTTGTTGAGGTTTGGTGGACATAATAATCATTTTTTAGTCTTCAGAAAACTTTTCTCCTCCTCCCTCTTTTCTCTGCTTTCTATACCCTTCAACAAAAAGCATTAAAAGGAAAACATACTCAATAAAATCAAACCTTTAGTCAGTGCCTTTATCTTCTCAGAGATTCTCTTGGAAATACTGCCTGCCGAAAAGGAAGAGAAGGAAATACCTCTTCTAAAATTTTCTTTTTATCTTCTTGCAGCATCTTCTAACTAGCAGAAATAATACAATTTTCAAGTTGTTTTGTAAGTTGGATGTTTCTGGTTTTGTGTGGAATGTCTTGTTTCCCATTAGGGCAGTGGGTGTCTCACAAGTTCTAGGTTACCGTATGACAGCCATATCCATTTACAGACATTTAAGAAGCTTTATAACAATGTATTTCCAGGGAGTAGGCAGTACTTGATTTTCTGTATTTAAATTTTCTGAGGCAGATGATAACATCTGGTAAACACCACCTGCCTATTCCATCCAGGACCCTAACTAGTCATAAGGTTAGCCCCAAACTCTGTTAGGGTTCATAGTATTTTAAGATTCATTTTTGTGTCCTTTATTATGAATATAATTAGTATTTTCTCCCCTTTCGGGTGCTTTAAGATCTTAATACCTGTTCCAATATGAGACTACCACAGTAAGACAAGAAAGGGCAATGCTGTAGTAGGCAGTTAGTTAAGCGCTTAAGTTAGGCCGCTTTGTTATGAGGTTGATGAGTTTTTGTCCTTAGTTCGAAATGATTAATATTCTCACTGACGGAAGTATCAGCTGTGATCATATAGATTGCTCTTTCCCGTAGAACTGAAGTGTATTTTAAAAGTTTTTTTTCTTTTTATAAAGAATGTCTTGTTGCGCCGTGATTGCTAGACTGAAAGTTTCCTCATCACGTGGTGAGACCCTCCTCTAATTCAATCTTTGTCTTTTGTCTTTGCTGCCTTGCAGGGTTGGTACAGTAGGCTTCACTAGACTTAGCTGCAACTCAGAATTTCTCCTCCAGCACCTGAGTAAATGCTGATGGTCTTGTGGAGAGTGGATTAAGAGTACGAGCTAAGTTCTCAATCCCAATTAAGAAGCGGAAAATTTAAACTGTCTTCTTCAAAGTTTATCACAACCACCACCATCAAGACAGCAAACCAAAGGACAAAGACTTTGACCTGCTGTGTTGCTCTGTATAGTCCAGTTCACGTATGGTTTACAGACTTGGCTGGGGTTACTAAAAATAAAGTTGGACACTTCTGTCATTGGACGCTATTATTCACAAGTTACCAGAATGAGAGCTGTACTGGACACAGCAGACATTGCCATAGTGGCCCTGTATTTTATCCTGGTCATGTGCATTGGTTTTTTTGCCATGTGGAAATCTAATAGAAGCACCGTGAGTGGATACTTCCTGGCGGGGCGCTCTATGACCTGGGTAGCAATCGGTGCCTCTCTGTTTGTGAGCAATATTGGGAGTGAGCACTTCATTGGGCTGGCAGGATCTGGAGCTGCAAGTGGATTTGCAGTGGGCGCATGGGAATTCAATGCCTTACTGCTTTTACAACTTCTGGGATGGGTTTTCATCCCAATTTACATCCGGTCAGGGGTATATACCATGCCTGAATACTTGTCCAAGCGATTTGGTGGTCATAGGATTCAGGTCTATTTTGCAGCCTTGTCTCTGATTCTCTATATTTTCACCAAGCTCTCAGTGGATCTGTATTCAGGTGCCCTCTTTATCCAGGAGTCTTTGGGTTGGAATCTTTATGTGTCTGTCATCCTGCTCATTGGCATGACTGCTTTGCTGACTGTCACCGGAGGCCTTGTTGCAGTGATCTACACAGACACTCTACAGGCTCTGCTCATGATCGTTGGGGCACTTACACTTATGATTATTAGCATAATGGAGATTGGCGGGTTTGAGGAAGTTAAGAGAAGGTACATGTTGGCCTCACCCAACGTCACTTCCATCTTGTTGACATACAACCTTTCCAACACAAATTCTTGTAATGTCCACCCTAAGAAAGAAGCCCTGAAAATGCTGCGAGATCCAACAGATGAAGATGTTCCTTGGCCTGGATTCATTCTGGGGCAGACCCCAGCCTCGGTATGGTACTGGTGTGCTGACCAAGTCATCGTGCAGAGGGTCCTTGCAGCCAAAAACATTGCTCATGCCAAAGGCTCCACTCTTATGGCTGGCTTCTTAAAGCTTCTGCCAATGTTTATCATAGTTGTTCCAGGAATGATTTCCAGGATACTGTTTGCTGATGATATAGCTTGCATCAATCCAGAGCACTGCATGCTAGTGTGTGGAAGCAGAGCTGGTTGCTCCAATATTGCTTACCCACGCCTGGTAATGAAGCTGGTTCCTGTGGGCCTTCGGGGCTTAATGATGGCAGTGATGATTGCAGCTCTGATGAGTGACTTGGACTCTATCTTTAACAGTGCCAGTACCATATTCACCCTCGATGTGTACAAACTTATCCGCAAGAGCGCAAGCTCCCGGGAGTTAATGATTGTGGGGAGGGTATTTGTGGCATTTATGGTGGTGATCAGCATAGCATGGGTGCCAATCATCGTGGAGATGCAAGGAGGCCAGATGTACCTTTATATTCAGGAGGTAGCAGATTACCTGACACCCCCAGTGGCAGCCCTGTTCCTTCTGGCAATTTTCTGGAAGCGCTGCAATGAACAAGGGGCTTTCTATGGTGGAATGGCTGGCTTTGTTCTTGGAGCAATCCGTTTGATACTGGCCTTTGCCTACCGTGCCCCAGAGTGTGACCAACCTGATAACAGGCCAGGTTTCATCAAAGACATCCATTATATGTATGTGGCCACAGTATTGTTTTGGGTCACGGGACTCATTACTGTAATTGTGAGCCTTCTCACGCCACCTCCCACAAAGGAACAGATTCGTACCACCACCTTTTGGTCTAAGAAGAACCTTGTGGTGAAGGAGAGCTGCTCCCCGAAAGAGGAACCATATAAAATGCAAGAAAAGAGCATTCTGAGATGCAGTGAGAATAATGAGGCCATCAACCACATCATTCCTAATGGGAAATCTGAAGACAGCATTAAGGGCCTTCAGCCTGAAGATGTTAATCTTTTGGTAACCTGCAGAGAGGAGGGCAACCCAGTGGCTTCCTTAGGTCATTCAGAGGCAGAAACACCAGTTGACGCTTACTCCAATGGGCAAGCAGCTCTCATGGGTGAGAAAGAGAGAAAGAAGGAAACGGAGGATGGAGGTCGGTACTGGAAGTTCATAGACTGGTTTTGTGGCTTTAAAAGTAAGAACCTCAGCAAGCGGAGTCTCAGAGACCTGATGGAGGAGGAGGCTGTTTGTTTACAGATGCTGGAAGAGACTCGGCAAGTTAAACTAATACTAAATATTGGACTTTTTGCTGTGTGTTCACTTGGAATTTTCATGTTTGTTTATTTCTCCTTATGAACTTATGGATATGGTGAGACACTAACTTAAGACAATACCGACTGGTCTTTGGGGAAAAAAAGTTATGTAACTGTTGCATCTCTCAGGCATTGTTTACGCTGTAGGTTTTAGCCAAATTTTACTTAGCAGAAAATCATCTATTTACAGGACTTTATTTTCCCAGAGATAGATGAAAGTAAATCTTCAACTTAAATGAAGCAAAACCTAACAGACTGAATTGTGCAAATGTGGTTTTAAATTTTACATACCAAAGTAAGGAGAGACCAATTATTCTCACAGAGCACTTAGAGCAGAGTATATGTTAAGTTACCATGAATTAAGGTATACTGTCTGCACTGCCAACTCTTGGCAGACCTTACCCTGAAGTGGAAGATTTGCTCATTTCTAAAAAATTTTTCTGTCTCTATAATCCCTACCATTTAAAAAAACTGATTTCTTAGACATTGTACAATCAGTTATGTACTGAAAATCTAATGTGCTTGTGTGATACTTGTTTCAGGACAAGTTTATTTGCCAGGTTCATTTTGTTAGCATGAGCCTATGGATTCTGGTTGCCAAAAGAAAGAATGTTTTTCTCTGGGTATTTTTGTACCACAAGTATATGGAATATTAAGGAAAAACATTGTTCTGGTTCCTTTTTTTTTTTTTTTTAACTTGAAATTTAAGTGAACCATACTGAAATGAGCAACAAGTCTGCCTGTAAAGTTACATGCCATGATTGTATTGTTAAATAATTATGGGGGAGAAAATGAAGTAAATGTTGCTGATGATCCCCATATTTATTGATCAGATTAAGGTCGTTCATATAGTTTGGAAATGACCAGCCCCCAAGCAGTGTTTGACTAACTTATGCTAAACAGATGATTCCTTATATATTCTGCTAATTTTCTAGCTTTGTTCTTGTTATTTGGAAAAATTATATTAGCCATATGCCTTCCTTGGTGGATCCAGTTGGAAGATATGTCCAGAAACCTGAAGAAAAATTGACGCTGCCTTTGTGTGCTGGATTGTTCTAGTTGATATATCAAGGTTGAATTTTTAGAGGGAACATTTAATTCTGTTATCTTATTTCATCCTTGATAACGTTTTTCCTTGATTTTTTTTTTTTTTCCTCAAAAGACTTGCCATCTGCACACAGCCTCTTCATTTTTGTTACAGTAACTTAGAGCATGAGGATGTTTCAATGCAAGCTGGCCATCAGTAACAGAAAACTCAGTGCATACTTCGCTGTTGATAGGTTGTCAGTATAGTCTTTCCGTAGGATGGATAGCATGTTTGAGAGGTGCTGAACAAGAACTTTTGGGATTAGTAGTGTGTCTTGTGGAGGGCATTATAGGACTATGTAATTATGGAATTCTAACTTGATGTGGCTTGGCACCCAGTTGCAACATCTGTGGGTGGGAATCTTTTTCACAGGCTATTTCTCCGTACTGGGTACAGAGTACAAAAGATGTTAGAGAAAAGCTCTACAGATTATGTACTTCTGTGTCCTTGTGTGCTCAACACTGTCCTTTGTCCTCCATGAAAGATGAAAGAAGCAAATTATGTATGTACTTTCTTTGACTTTCTTTAATCTCTGATACTTTTTAGATTGCATGATTTTACTAGGCTTGTATTTAGGGAAGTTACTTTTATAAATACTTTTGTAGATTTTGAATCACAACTCAGTCTTGATTTGAATTTTTTTGTAGTCTGTAAAGTAGTTTCATTATGATGGACTTGATTAGTCCAAAGTTAATTTTAGAAATTATCAGGTAGTGTAGTGTCTTCCCATCATCAGGAGGCTTTCTGATGGACTGAGTTTATGAATGAAAAAATAATTTATGTATGAATAGCATGTATTTCTGAAGAGCTTAGAGTGCCTTGTAGAATTTTTTTCTCAGTTTTATTCTTGAGGTTTATAATTTGGGGGCCAAATAGAGATCATCCTTCCCTTGTTTGGAGGTTGAGGCTGTGACATGTCCAAAGTTATAAAGTCTTATTTGGGAAGAACAGAAATCAGGTCTCCAAATCTGGACTCATGGTTTGTTCAGATGTGTCTGGACAAATGATTGTCAGTGTTTTGTACTGTTTTCTGAAAGGAACTGATCTTTCCTTGAGACAATCTTTTGGTGTTTGGCTTTTTCAAATTGCCATTAAGTTATAAGAACTAAAATTTTCTTTGAACCACACTGCTGTGTAATTTGGCAGTGATAATTGACATATTGGCCAGGCAGCCTTTCTATCTCTTCCATATCCAGCATAAATGACTAGGAAGTGTTTGTGATTTTTTTTTTCCTCCTTTTATTTAACATTGAGTTCTAGTAGTTTGGAGAATTAGGGTCCCTCTACCTTCTCTCTGCTCTTGTCTTAGTAAGATATATAAGGTACGTCATCTTGTGTCTGTGTGTATATAGCAGTAGGTCAAGTTTAGAGTACTAAAGTCTGTAAATAAGGAATGACTATTAGCATATTCATTAGAATTGTTTATTCTTGCCAGTATAAACATCACTTTATTTAGACGAAAGTCCCTGAAGCTTGTCTTTCTTACTGCTTCCCAGTAATAGATAATGTGCTCGAGTAAGTATGTGAATTGCTGATTGCAGCTTCATTCAGGGACTGGTCTTCAGTCTAGATTTCATTAGAATGATTGTTGCTGGAATGAAACATGGACTGTCTTAAGCTAGCAAAATGTTCATACTTTACACTGACTAAATGGGTCCTAAATGACATTGGTTTTTAGATATTAACATGTGCATATTTTTATATTAGTTCAAGCTAAGGTTCAGAATTGAAGATTGATACTGACTAGAATAGCTAAAAGTCAAAATGAGATGAGGACACTGGTCTTGGAAGGTAGAGAAAAATACGTCTTACCAGGTGTTAATGGTATCCCCAGTTCTTAGATTTTTTTGTCTTCTCCGGCAATTAAAATTAGTCTCATGATCTGATGAGAAGAGCGTATTACATTTGGTATGCTGATTGATTAGTGGGACCTCCAATTTCCCTGGTCATCTTTCAGAATATTCTGTCCTGCTACCCCCAGAAAGTAAACAGTTGAGTCAATTTCTTCCCCAGCTATACTTTCCTGGGGGTAATTATGTTTTGTCTTTAGGTTAGAGAAGCATCAAGCAATAGCAGTGGTGCTGTGTCCTTTGGCCTAAATTCAATAGATCTGATCTCCTAGGGTTTCCTTTTCACTTAGCTCAAAGGATCCATTGTCTTTTGGCACAAAGAGGCTGGCCAGGGTCATGTAACCATAGCTCTTAGGGATAGTACCTCAAGAAATTAGCTGGGACTCACCACTCTTTGAAACTTCACTTTTTAAGAACTGAGTTGAGGCCTGGTGCGGTGGCTCACACCTGTAATCTCAGCACTTTGGGAGGTTGAGGCGAGTGGATCACCTGAGATCAGGAGTTTGAGACCAGCCTGATCAACATGGTGAAACCCCATCTCTAGTAAAAATACAAAAATTAGCCAGGCGTGGTAACGTTTGCCTGTAATCCCAGCTACTCGGGAGGCTGAGGCAGAATTGCTTGAATCTGGGAAGCAGAGGTTGCAGTGAGCTAAGATTGTACACCACTGCGCTTCAGCCTGGGTAACAGAGCAAGACTCCATCTCAAAAACAGAAACAAAAAACAAAACAAACAAAAAATGAGTTGAGAAGATTGTTAAGCACTTCTGTAACCTGAGGCTTACCAAGGGTTTAAGTCTTGTCAGGGCAGTTCCAGTGTGTCTGTATTCGCAGCCCATGGCTTATTTTCTCTATCGTGGGCACGTGATCTTCCCCTCTGACCTTGAATATCAGTTGGTGTAGCCTATGGGTTATTTTAATTCTTTACCACCAAATACTTTGGCTTATTAGCTCCCCAATTATTTGCCACTCAAAGATTGGGTCTTCCCTGTGCCTACTTGACAGTGTTAAAGCTTATGGGGTTGCCTTACGTTGACTCCTCTGGCTCGTTTTCATCAGAAGCATGATGACTGGAAAGGGATCACATGGTTCGCTGATGAGGACACCTCACTATTTCCTCGGTTTGGATAGAGAGAGTATACAAGACCATTCCTGTTCAATGATGTGACTACAGACACTTGCCAGGACAAAATTTTCCTAAGAAATCAGAAAGATGATTAAGTGAGATAAGTACCTGGGTGACACAGACATTAGCACATCGGTAAAAGACAACAAATATTAGCTTAAGATCTGCAGAAGTAGAATCATTTTCGTTGGATTCTAGAACTTTGAAGCACCTTGGTTTTCAGCTACTTTAAACTCCTCCCCACATAAATTAAGGGACTAATAAGTAAGTGTCAGCTTGTTAAACCTGGTTTGATGTTAAGCATTGTAAAGTACAAAATTTATTAACACATTAGGGATAATTTAGTAGAAAAATGTTTTGAAGCTGCAGTATTTGTAAAATTTTGCATTAGCCAGGTGCTAGGTTGCTGAAGCCATTGAAGTGTTTGTAATAGCCCAAGGAGACTTCCAGTAGGATGTATTTCTATATGTGCATATGCCTGCTTACGGTTCAGAGAGACTGGTTTTCCTCTCTGTCTTTCTTCACATTGCTGTGTCAGTTCTACAACTAGTCTTTTCAACACTTAGCAAGTGCAAATTTTGATTTTGTCAGCTTAGTTCACTTTCAGGCATAGTGCCTTTTTGCCCCAGTATTGAGGACTTTTAGATCCAAATAATAATCCATTAAATAGAGTTATATTTTAAGTATACTGAATTTCTGTTAGCTTAAAATATTAATTCTCAAGAATGATGTTCTCACACTTTGTGTTGGCTAATAATAAACACTAATAGTTCATCAGTATTTTATTCTCAAAACTCCTTTTTCAAAAATTAGGGAGAGAGCAGTAGTGAACATTTATGTGAGCTCCTTTGAAATGATGGTGTCAGAGTGTGGAGAAACAGTGGAGTTGTTATGCCAAAAGGCATATTTTTTGCTGTAAAAATTTGGAATTAGTTGGCATATAGAGGAACCATTTTGTACTGGAAGATACGAGGCTGGATT